CAGAGCGAGTCCCAGGCACTGCGCTGAGAAACCTCTTTGTAATTAATGAAAGTCCTCTGAACACTCTGCAGGGCAGCAATGACAAGCTGACTCCAAGAAGGACATGGAGGTGCTGGAGCGTGTCCAGAGAAGGGCAACGGAGCTGGGGAAGGGTCTGGAGCACAAGTGTGCTGAGTTCCCTTGTGGCTGAGGGAACTGGGGGTGTTGAGCCTGGAGAAAAGGAGGCTGAGGGGAGACCTTCTGGCTCTGTGCAAGTCCCTTGGAGGAGGGTGGAGAGAGGTGGGGGTGGGTCTGTTCAACCAAGGCCCAAGGGACAGGACAAGAGGAAATGGGCTCCAGTTGTGGCCAGGGCAGTTGAGATGGGATGTGAGGAAGAATTTCTTTGCTGCAAGGGTTCTGAGGCATTGGAAGGGGTTGCCCAGGGCAGTGGGGGAGTCCCCATCCCTGGAGGGATTGAAGAGTCGTGTAGACATAGTGCTGAGGGACATGGGTTAGTCATAGGGGACTGGTCAGTGTTGGGTTCATGGTTGGACTCGATGAGCTTAAAGGGCTTTTCCAATCCAGGTCATTGTAGATTCATTCACAATTCTGTGACATGGACACCCCTTGACTCCTTTGGTCAAAGCTCCCAGTTAGACAGGCCACTCACCCCCGGGGGTGCTTGTCCAGCTCATGGAGAACAGTGTGGTCGCAGTATTCAAAGACCAGGTGCAGCCTCCGCTTCCTCCTGAACACTTCCAGCAGGTTCACCAGATTGGGGTGTTTCAGTTGCTGTAACACACAGTGGATGGACTGGTTAGTTACTGCACAGGGGAGTGGGGTACAGGTGGGGGGGGACAATGCTTTTACTGACAAGGAACCCAGTTCCTTGAGCTGAAACCTTTGATACAAGCACAGCATGAGGTGAAGAAGCAGCTCACTCCACCTCAGCCTGGGGTGAAGTTATTTTAGGAACTGACTATGGGCAACAAGTCAGGTTGGGTTCAGCAAATGCCTCTTGGAAAAGATGCTCACAGATAAAGAATTCACCACAGAGCCCACAGCTCTTCCGGCAGCGCCTTGTCATTCTGCGTATCCAGCCTTTGGCTGCAGCACAACGGAAAGCAGAGCTCCCTGGAGAGCAGCCTGGGAAATCACACACGGAAGAGCCTGTAGCAGCAAACACACATTTAGGAGAAACCAAGACCTCCTCTGATAAGCATAAGGAAAGCACATGGTCTCAGCTTCACCAGCTTAATGTCATCAGAATCTGGATGGGTTAATTAGGAGAATTTTTAAACCATTCTATGATTCTATGATTCATGTGCTCATACCAGGGTTCCTCTCCTGGGGAGCTGTCCTGGTTTTGCTAGGACAGAGTTAATTTCCTTCTTACCACACACCAAGCCTGAGCACAGCAGGGTTATTCCAATGCACCTGTAAGAGGTGAGGGTGGACGTTCCTAGAGCTGCAGGAAGAACTTGGTGTTGTTTTGCCCACATTTTGGTGGAGGGCTGAGAGGAGGCTTGAACCAAGGGGCACAACACAGCACTGGGAAAAGGAAACAAAGGGAAAAGAAAACAAAAGGAAACATTTCCCTCCCTGGAAGTGTTGAAGGCCAGGCTGGATGAGGCTTTGAGCAACCTGGTCTAGTGGAAGGTGTCTCTGCTGCTGGCAGGGGGGTTGGGACTGGGTGAGCTTTGAGGTCCCTTCCAACCCAAATTGTTCTATGAAAAGCCAGACCCAGCTCAGGAATGTTTCTTTTCAGACTCCTGGTACCATCCCCTCTGCTTGTATCCCCAAGGGCTTTGCCTGACCAAGGCTTTAGAACAAACACATTTCTAAGCCTATTTCTAGGCTGGAAAGGGCATTGCCTGGGAGTCCTGCTAATCCCATCTTCTAATGTGTCTCTAAGGCATCTGGAAAAACCTACCAAGGGGAAGGAAGTGAAGAGACAAGAGTAGAGAAAATGGTAAGGAGCCTTAGCTGAGGAATGCAGCTGTTTAGGGGAGCACCCAGTTAATCCCAAGGTTGGGGAGACAACACCTTCCTGGAAACAGCAGACACTGATCTATTTCCACAGCCACCAATGGGGTTTACACACAGACCAGCTCTGTGTTCACATATTTCCAGCCTTTCCTCTGGAACTGAATCATAGAAAAATCATAGAACCTTTTTGGTCAGAAAAGACCTTTAAGCTCATCGAGTCCAACCATGAACCCAACACTGACAAGTCCCCTATGACTAACCCATGTCCCTCAGCACTATGTCTACACGACTCTTCCATCCCTCCAGGGATGGGGACTCCACCACTGCCCTGGGCAACCCCTTCCAATGCCTCAGAACCCTTTCAGCAAAGAAATTCTTCCTCACATCCCATCTCAACTGCCCTGGCCACAACTGGAGCCCATTTCCTCTTGTCCTGTCCCTTGGGCCTTGGTTGAACAGACCCACCCCCACCTCTCTCCACCCTCCTCCAAGGGACTTGGACAGAGCCACAAGGTCTCCCCTCAGCCTCCTTTTCTCCAGGCTCAACACCCCCAGTTCCCTCAGCCACAAGGGAACTCAGCACACTTGTGCTCCAGACCCTTCCCCAGCTCCGTTGCCCTTCTCTGGACACGCTCCAGCACCTCCATGTCCTTCTTGGAGCCAGGGGCCCAGAACTGAACCCAGCACTCAAGCTGCAGCCTCACCAGTGCCCAGTGCAGGAGGACAATCACTTTGGGATCACTCAGGGTGTTTTGACTCTCTGCACAGTTCCCAGCTCTCCCAGCCCAGCTCCTGTGGCTCCTGGCCATAAAAAGCCCTTTGTCTACAAGGTATTCACTGGGTAGAATAATAAGTTATCAGGCCTTACATTTTTTACTGATGAAACACAATCTCACTACATCTTTGACAAACACTTAGTTGTTGCCTAAGCCAGGAAATACCTCAACAAACAAACAAACAAACTGTTACTATTTACAGAGAAAAAGTTGAAAAGATAATCAGGCAGGTCTGCACTTGTTAAAATCAACAGCACGGCGACACAGATCCTGCCACAGGCAGCTGCTGCGGTGTTGGCTTTGGACCCTTCAGGATGATGCATTTACCATCTGCGTTCCAAGTGACTTCTGCAATCATCATTTTCCTTTTCAGATCTTTAATGTCATTTAAATTGTTCACACATCACCAGCATTGTTTACTAAAATGATACAGCTCCATGTCATCTGTTTGCTTCAGACAGGAGAAAAACTTACACTGCTTCTCCCCAAAACCTAACTGAGAAATAAATACTGGGGTTTTTTTTCTAGAGAATGCCTAGAAAAATGGCATCCAGGATTCCATTTCAGGATGGCATTTCGGGATGGCATCCCGGCCATCCAGGATGTCATTTCAGGATGGCATCCTGGCTTATTTTGCCTCTTGCTGCAGCAGGTACAGAATCAGGGCTTTACATTCATTTGACAATAACATTTACACCACTTATATATATAAATGCTCAATAAAAGACAAGCTGATAGCATGAAAGAGATTTGAGGAAAGGAAATAGCAGAAATACCACAACCTGCTGAAATTTTGCATTTAATTGCAAATCTTTAAGTTACTTGGTTCCCAGAGAGCAAATTAAGGTAACTCCACGGAAAGGAACACTGAGCAGGACGAGTATCGAGTGCTGCTACACAGCCACCAACAGGCACTGAAGTTTGGGAACAATGTCACGCAGAAATCAGAGACCAAGGGACTGGGAATCTTGGGAAAGAAGTTTTAAATAAAATGGAACACCTTTCTCTGCAGATTTCTGTAGGGTTACCTCCAAAATCTTACATCACTAATTGTCTACAAGAATGCATTGTGTCTAGTCTGAACCACACGTCTCTTACAAAAAGGAGTCAAATTGGAAGTTCTGATTTTAAAATTTATAATAAGGCAACATGTTGTTAATATTGTTCTTTAATCAATTAATTGTTTTAAAGCCATGGCTCTCCTGCACGGAAAAGGGGTAACTGAAGATGGTGATGGAGGTGTAAAAAAATCATGAGTATCCTGGAGAACGTAAAAAGGGAACAACTCGCTCCACTTCTCGTAACACAACTGAGGGGACCGTACGCCATCACCCAGCGGCAAGTTTCTAACAAATCAAAGGAAATATTTTTTCACACAACACATTTTTAAGGTTGTGTCACTCTCTGCCTCAGGAAACTATGGAGACCAAATGAATACACCAGTTCACAAAGAGATGGGACAAACTCCCACCAGTCTATGGGTGTCTGCTAAGCATGAAGCGACAGGTACAACCTCTGGCTCTAGAAACTTTGCCCAGAAGCTGGGTATGTGAAAGGAAACCATACCCCATCCGCTCCCTCTTTCTCCTGGGTTTCTCCTCATTTCTCCATGCTTGATGGACCTGGAGTGTGACTCTGCAAATGTTCCCGTGGTTTATTTTAGCAGGAAAA